CCTTTCTCTTTACACAAGTGCACAACTGACACCAAGCTTTTCATTGAATTTTGCTGAAGAGATTTGCCTCCTTTCTACCATAATTTTGTCGATGCTTAATGTTGTAGAGTAGTTTTCATAGTGGAGGCTTGTATTTCACTAAGTCGGTCCTAAATTAGGGCCGACATACAAAACGTTAGGAACTTGAAATAATAGTTAATGACGCAGCAATCTAGTTGTGGTGATGATACTTTTAATGTCCGACATCGACTGACTCACACAACTCACTGAGCCCAGCTGGCAACCGCTACTACTACTACTACTTATTATGTGTGGAAGAGTCTATTACAATAGAATAGGTATGTTCCATTATAACACTTAAAAAAACAATCACTTGTATAATTTACATTATTCGGACTGTTATCCTCATCTTCATTGCCATATTCACAATGTTTAGGCCATTGTACACCCCCGCTTTCTTCAGGTGATTTGAATTTCAAACCGAACCCTTTATTTTGTCCACTGGGGTAGATTGTTCTAGTTCCACATGCCATGCCTGTTCTGGATGTCTTAGTTATTTCCCAATGAAGATGAGGATAACAGTCCGAGCATTGTAAATAATGTAAGTAATCATAATACCTGATCTCAGAGATATAGACAGAAAACAAAATCATTTGGGAAGAGGAAAACTTCTAAACTATGAAATTCCTTCAGCCATGCTGTCTGCACCACAACTCTTCTAATGCAAGTAAATAAAGAAACACATAGTGTACATTCTTATCAAAAACAGTACCATGTTGTTATAAAAAGAACTAGTCTCCAGGACAAAGAACTTTCCCACCAGGCTGCAGTAAAAGGAGGGAGTGTCCAAGGGATCACTCCTAATCATCACAGTGCATGCATATTGACAAAATTGCCAGTCTTGCTGAACAGAATCTTTTCTTTGATCCAGAGTGCATTTCACAACATCAGCTAATTGAGAAATGCCTTGTCGTTATCAAGAGATTTCGAACCCAGACACCCAAGGCCATAAAGTGTGATCTGCCTGTTTTGTCAAACTGAGCTCATCAATCAAATCATCTTGAACAACAACTACCATTCAAGCAGGCATGATATAATGCCTTATATATAACAGGCCTCTTGTTTGAATACACACTTCTCAAAGTCGGAAAGAGTTTTTAGCATCTTCTTTCAAGAATTTGTAATTACCATTCTTTTGCAAACACATTTAATCTAATGCAGAGAATATGTTTATGAAATTCAACATTTGGCATACCTGTCCAGCCTTCAGATAAAGATAACATATTTCTGGATGCATTTGAGGAGCCTTGACACACACAAAAGATGGAACAAGACATAAACTAGATGAATTAGTTTAGTGAATGAAAGTGGAATAATTGAGAGTCAGTAAAGTTACATGCAATCGATATGCAAAGCATAGAACTTCCTCTTTAAGGAAAGATTCTTCCAAAACCACAGATAAGCTGCAGCCTTGGCCTTTTCCAGTACTTTGAATCAATTTTTCTTCAGCTAGAGGTCAAAACCAAACTAGACACTAAATATCTGGCATGGCATGTCTGTCTAAATGAAAGACCCAGGATGGGAAACTTCCTTTCATGAACCCAACCACAAGCCCACGGACTTATCACAATTGATCTTGGCCCTTGATACCATTAAACTATGATCTTTTTTCCTAACTTTGTAATACTGATACTGACACAGCACTGTCTAATCATCAGCATAGGTAGAGTACATGGGTGAGATGATGGTACCAGGTGTAATAAATAAGTAACTAGTTATTCATTCAGTATAGGGTTGTATATTATCATGGGGATCCCCACTGATGACTCTGCTTAACATTGTGGTAAAGCACCCACTTCCCATCAGGGCTTATGGCAATATGACATTGAAACACTAGTTCTCATATGATCACCAAAGTTAAGCAACATCAAGCTTGATCAATACCTAGATGGGTGGCCACTTGGGAATACTAGGTACTCTAAGCTTGGATGTGTGGGTGGTGTAATGGATAATGGCTAAGAACTGGAAGTTGGAGAACCAGTTGAGTCTATTATATTCACTTATGCACAAATACCCTTGTGAAAGTTATGAATTCAATTTTTCTCCCCCAGCTATGGGTTAATTAGTAGAACGCCTATCAGTAAATGATTATTATTTCCAAAAGATTTCTTACCATCTAAAAATATTTTCTGGCTTTAAATAACTTGAAAAAGGTTGATAAGCCATAAAAAAAACAAATCAATCAATTAATTAAATCCACTTTTCATCCCCAGTAATGACTCTGTCCCCAGAATACACTTGAAGCTGATAGGAATGCAATCATGTATAATAATCTATATATTGTTTATAATTTGCAGTCATAATGGTAGAATAGTGGTTATTTTAACCTTGTTGAATGTTTGATCATGCATCTTCTTCATTCAAATAACATATATGGGTTCTTGAACCGTAAGTTAACTAATGTGGTTTGGAAGGAATATAAGAAGTGTTTTACACACCATAGATACTTAGGTAATAGCAAAAGAATTAATTATTCACCAGATGTTGATTTGAATCAAGCAGACTGATTTTTGTTTATATTTCAGGTCAGCCAAATGCAGCTTCAACACCACTTGTGCCCTCAATATCTGCCTTGACTACAGAGGATAATATAGCCAGTAAAAAAGAAACCAGTGTACAGAATGAGTCAACAGGGCAGAATGCTGCCAGGAGAACAGATACGGTTGAAACGAATTCCCGTGAAAAGTCAAGTGTGTCAAATCTGCTCCCAGAAGATCATTTTGGTAAAAAAAAAAAAAAAATATATATATATATATATAATTGTGTATTTGGGCAGCAATCCCTCTTTTATACAAGTTTAATTAAAAATGACTAACAAGGTACTGTGGTTAAGTCTTTTCATGTTCTTATAATTTTCTTCTAGATCTATCACACTCCATCCACAACATACTTGTTGATAATGCAAATATAATAGCCTCATCCACAAAAAAGGCTGAAAATAATGAAAGTATTAGTAATAAAAAAGAAAAAAACAACACTCAATAATATAACCTATGAACATGGCCACAATGTGCTGGCCTTATTTGGAAACTAAAAAATTTCCTATAACTCTAGATACATACATAAAACAATCTCGTCCTGGGTAAGAAGATAAGCTACGTACAACAGCAAGGCCTCTGATCAGGAGGTTTTGAGAAGTGTGGAACCACCTCTTAATTGCTGGTGTTCCCAGGTCCACCCTGACCCAGGGTGGTGGCACCTGTCATGGTCCCAGCTATAGGCAATTAGTTAAATCACAAACTGGGGTCAGAACACTATTAGTGTAAAAATATGTTTTAATACCAGAAATGCTTTGTAAAAAAATTATTACCAGCAATACATTATTACCAACTATACATTTTTTGAAAAATGAAAAAAAAAATATTACCAACAATGCATTTTTGGAAAAATTATTACCAGCAATAAAAATCTTGTTAGTATTAGGTACCCCATTGAGGTTGATATGCCATAAAACAAACCAAACCAAATCATACAATCAGTTAAATGTAAAAATAAAATTCATTTTTGATAATGGTATAGCCGAAAGTGCTCAGATATACAAAACAATTGGACAATTTCTATAAGATCAAAAAAGAAGAAAATTATAAGAATGCATGAAAAAATTAAATAAAAAAACAACTGCTGTAAATTTTCAGTTGTTTTTAATGAAACTTGTGTGTATGTATTTATATATATATATATATATATATATATATATATATATATATATATATATGTATGTATGTATATGTATGTGATGTAAAATGTGTGTGGTGTTTTTAAAATCATATATATATATATATATATATATATATATATATATATATATATATATATATATATATATGATTTAAAATCAGGAGGTCAATTGAAATATATTTTAACCTGGTGGTCTCATCAGGTGATAATTTAAAAATGACCACTTTAATGCTTTATTTCAAAAATATTTTTGAAATAAAGCATCAAAAATGGTCATTTTAAATTATTGCCTGATGAGACCACCTGGTCGAAACTGTGGTCGACTATTTTAATTGACCTGATTTTTAAACTTAAAAGCTCTACATGTTATTATTATTTTTATTTTTACTTATTTTTTTTCTCACGTGTATTGAGCACTTTTTAATACTACTGTTCCTTGGTCTGATTCAACTCTGACCATTAACCTGATATATATCTGGAAAAAATTATTGAACTTACTGAGGGTTTAAAGAATTAATTTACTGAACTCTTGAATCTGATGTATAAGAAAATTATTTGAGCCAAAGGATATTGTGAAGGGACAACTTATGGTTATGTACAATCTCCTAAAGAGATTTAATTTGTAATTTTAAATATTAATTAACCAAGTCATGACTCTATTTAATAATGGTTCTCTGCATTTTCAGTAAATATCAAGTTTTATATTAGAATGTTTACATAAGTTTAAGCATATTGAATAGGTGACATTTTTTATATTGGAACGAAATGAAGAGAAATTGAGATACAAAGAACTTGTTGCAACAATAGTCAAATTGGGGTGGGCCTATGTTTAATATAATTGTTTTAAACTGTGTTCAAACAGCAAGAAAAGATTGGGAATGCACAACTATTTTTTTCTTTTTTTTTTAAATCAATTCACCCTAAACAAGGTGATAATGCAAATAAAACACATAGGCCTACTGGGTATGAAAGAGAATGAAAAGCCTTTAGTAAGAACTAAAAGACAAATTCTAAACAGGGAACAAGGGATAAATTTCTACCCCTGTTCAAAGGACTGGGGAGGAGTTTGAATGAGATATCAATATCAGGGAACAAGGAATAAATCTCTACTGTTCAAAAATCCAGAGAGGAGTGTGAACTGGGCAATACCTATATCACCCACTATACAGGTTCTGTTTAAACTGAACTGTTTGTGTTTTCATTGACAAATGGATAGAAATAACAAGAGGGAATAGGAAAATATGCAACTATCTTGGCCACCAAGCAGATCCCATTATTCTGAACATATACACCAAATAATCCTTTACAATTAATTTTCACTTTACAAGTTGCATATTAGTTTGCCATTTTATCATTTTTTTTTATAAACTGAAACATTAAAACATTTTCTATAAATTAAGACATTAAAACATTTTTTATTGAGACATTCAAACATTTTCTATAAAATGTGACATTAAAACATTTTTTCATAAATTGAGACATTCAAACATTTTTTATAAATTGAGACATTCAAACATTTTCTATAAATTAAGACATTAAAATATTTTTTATAAATTAAGACATTAAAACATTTTTTATATATTGAAAAATTAAAACATTTTTTATTGAGACATTCAAACATTTTCTATAAAATGAGACATTAAAACATTTTTTTATAAATTGAGACATTCAAACATTTTCTATAAATTAGGGTATTAAAACATTTTCTATAAATTGAAGCATTAAAACATTTTTTCTAATTATCTTGTATAGGCAGCATAAGCTTCAAATATTGACACAAAAATTAATACATCCTGACTTAGAATTAGCTAAGAACTCTGCATGTTGTCACATAACACACATCATTAAACATATACGCAGATATATTTTGGTATATTTGTCAGAATTGATGGCCATGACAAAATTGGCAAATCCTGGTTTTCTTATTTTGTAGATGATCCAGATATATGGAATCAGTCTTTGGATTTTGAAAGTGTTAACCTTGAAGCAGCTTTGCTTACTGCAAAAGATATGGCACTTAATAATTCACCCAGGTCTATACGAGGCCCTTCTGCTGTGCAAACCCTTGATGGAACAGCTGTGTCCCACATACAAATTATGTCTCCACGTCAACAGAGAGGATGCCAAAAAGCTCTTCAATTAATCCAAGAAGCACGAGGTTTCTTTTGATTTTTCATTCTTTTACTTTTATTTTTCATTGCTTCAATGCTATATTTTGTGATTTGGAAATCATTTTGTTCTCACAGATCCTATACATACACACCCATATATATATATATATATATATATATATATATATATCTGAGTGTGTGTACATATATATTTCTGTGTGTTTATGTATGTTTACGTGTGAAATTATTATATATTTCATGTAAAAAAAATAAATTGTACTCATTGGCATTCATCAACACTTACTGAATGTTTATGTGGACCAAACAGAGGCTGTAAGCACAATTGTGCATTGAGTAATGTGTTTCAGCAGTGGTGACACTTCTGTGTGTTACATACTGAATTATATATATATATATATTTAAGAAACAGCAGATATTTTTACATATAGGGCTTAATATTAAAAATATTAAAATAATATTAAAAATAGAGCATTAATAATATTATATGAAAAGATTACTTGACTTTTGAATATCATTTTTATCTCGACTTTGAATTTTTCCAGGTAAACATTTGTGGTTTCTCTCTTTTTTAAAATATACACGTTTTATCAACTATAACATCTTTTTCTATACATATATATATATATATATATATATATATATATATATATATATATATATGCACACACACACATACACATAACTAAAAGTCTATCAGAAATCCACAAATAATGATCTTATAAATTTAAATGTGAAACTCATCACAAAAAAAAATTAAAACAGTCATAATTCTGGCTTTTTATTTAAAAAGCCCTTAAAATCTGTAGCCCCCAATTTTGGACTGAAGTAGAGAAGTTCATCAAAAACACTTTCAAACACCTCCACTACCCAAATTATTTCCTGTACAAAATCCACAGAAGAAAAATACAAAAATTCACAGATAATAATTATCCCGACAACCATAACAAAAGTAGATACATGATCCTAATTACAGACTATATAAGAGCCAAATGGAAAAAAAAATTGTTCAATCTTGACACATTCTGAACACAACCTTTAAAACAATAAGATCTATAGTTATATACAAAACAAAATTGCAAATAACAACTGAACAGGCAAGAATATACAAAATAGAATGTATAAAATGCTCATTACTTTACATCAGTGAAACATCCATTTTCAAAAAAATCTAAATTCAATATGATAATCATTTTTATATGCTGTTTAATAACACTTCAAATACACTTAATTTGGTGAACTGTAATTTTCTGACTATAATTTTGATTTAATAAATGCCAGCCTGATTAGAGAAAAAAATTTCACTAAAAAAAATACATTGAGAGTTGCTTAATCTATTCAAAACTTCACAATAAACCTAAGACCAGGACCTTATATAATATCACTGGTAATAAATAAAATAATAGTAGCACAATCTGATACACAAGCTAATAGAAAAAGAAAAAACAGATCTACTTGGAATGTGCTGATTTAAAATTTTTACCACCAAGTTCTAAAATATATATATGGACGATTGTGTCCAGCATGAAACAGCCTGTCACCTCTGAGTGTTGACCTCAATGTTCACATTTATATTTATATTTTTATATGTTCTATCTCTGATATTCAAAAATATTTTTTAATAAATAAGTATAGCATACCTTAAAACATATTTCTTCAGAAAATTTTACTACATTAAACTTTTATTTAATTTTTAATGTGTTCAAGCAAAATATTTCCATTTTTATTTTAATATATAAAAAAACTGTCCAAAAAATTCTGTAATTTTAGCAAAAAAAATATAAATTTAGCCATTATCAGGAATAATTTTATTTTCATAATTAAATGTCATAAAAAATTCAAATTTTACTATCCCCATGTATGACCCTTGCAAAATAATTAATCATCTATAATAAAAAAAAAAAAAACAGTCAACCTTTTCCTCAAAAATATAACACAGGATGCAAAAAATAAAACTAAAAAAAGAACAAAAATTATTTAGAAGATAAATAATTTTTAATCAAATTAAGTGTTCATGATCAAAAACTGAACTCATAAATAATTACAATAAATTTACATACTGTCAGCCTATTAAGATTTTTTACATTACACCTATTCGACCATTCAAATCCATTAGAACCCATTGAAACACACACAAAAATAAAAAACCAAACCCCATCCGAAACATACTAGTAAAAATAAAATACAAACATAATTATCTCATCCACATGTAAAAAAGTAATGGAAAACATTTTATAACTAATAAAAATAAAAAGCCAAACACATTAATAATTAATACAATTGAACATATATAAATGTGCTGAAAATTTTGGAAAATAAAACATCCCTATAAATTTAGATATTTTATGCATAATAAATATATATAATCCATATAAAAAAAAAAAAATAAAATCAATTATTGATAATAGAGTTAAAAAAATTGCTTCAAGTTTCAAAATTATATAACATTTGGACAAAATTCAATCCATCAATATCATTCTGTGTCCAGAAAAGAAAAACTTGTTTGAACACAAGAAAATTAAATAAAAATTAAATAAAAATTGTTTAATTTCAAATACCTTGTTCTTGATCTTTAATGAAATATATATATATATATAATATAAAAACAAAACAAATACTTTGATATTTTATTTTGTTCTATAATATAATTTATTCAAATCCTATTTATCCTAAAAATCTAAAAAATTTTCAAAAAACAAAGATTTGTTTTCATTCCAACCTGAAACTTTAAAGCAAAATCCAATACATTATTGGGATAATCATTCCATTTAATATAAATTTTTCAATTTTGTCCCATCATTTCCAAATGCAAAACACACAATACACATACATATACATATATATATATATATATATATTGTGTGTATTCATTATATATATAATTTTTTATTAATGCATGTTTCATTAAATAATATAGACAAGTTTTGTCTATTTATTTTAATAAATTCCTTTCATATCATCTGATAAACTTTTTAATAACATTATCATTGAAAGATGAAAGAAAATTACCATATTGATATATGTCTTTTTAATCCTATCCAAGCTTTTGGCTTACATAAGCCATCATCAGAGATGACAAGTACATTACAATAAATTAAACAATACACTGAGATATCAACAATGATAGTCTGTTTTATTGCATGGAAGATTTCTAAGCAACAACAAATTCATGTAATATGATTAATATATAATGAAAGCAAAAAAAACAATTTTCACATCATGACATCACACATGACCCTGTGAGAGTGAAAACGAGAAGTATTAAGTATGGGAAGCCGTTGGTATAAACCAATGGCTTCTGTTAACAATTATAGGCATTTAAGAATATTTGTGGCGATTTCATAGTTTATTTTCTTCAGGTTAGGTTTCAACTGTTTTATGTAAACAGCTTCAAGAATTTTTAGTTTTTGTTTATTGTTTTCATGTTTAAGTATAGTTGTGTTTTCAACAAGGATTTTCCAGAATTGTGTATGTGGCCAGGCATGTTGTTTAAATGCCTAAAAATGTTAGAATTATCATTCTAATGTAGAGTTAAGTGTCATGAAAGCGAGTTTGTGGTGTGACCAACATAAATATTATTTAATCTGTTGGAGATACAATCTCTCAGATTTAACTTTTATTTTTGTAAACTATGTTATTTTTTTTTTTAACTATTAATCGCTAACATAGGTATAAGAGAATCATTGCGAATTTGTTGGATATATACTAGATTTAATGTAGTATATGATTAATTTTTAAATTTGCTAACTCTGATCTGTTGTAGATTTATTAGTATTTTTAAAATTTTTACTAGTATATTTTCATCTTGTTTATAATTCGTATGCATTTGATTATAATATAGGATTAATATGATTGAGATTAGTTGAAGCATTATTATGTACTATTTTATTAGTATTGAGATTTCTAAAACAAAAATTTTATTTGTTCATCAACTATATAGTTTGGAAAGTTATTATTATTAAGTATTTGTTTTATATTCTTTAGTTCACTGTAAAAAATCTGTTTTGTGGATGAATTAGTTTCTGCATGATGTATTATATTTTTTATAATTGCTATTTTGTATAAACATGGGTATTCAACTTTTTGTAATTAAGTGTACATGAATTTATGCTTGTAAAAATTTTATGGCAAAATAGTAAATTTGTTATTTTTTGTGTTTATCAATATGTCAATTTTGAAGGTGATTTTAATAGAACTATTGAGTTCATATGTGAATTTAAGGACAAATTATTTTTGAAAATTTTTTGAAATTGAATCTATTTCATCTTTAATTTTTAAAAACATAAATATATCATCAACATATCTTAGGTCGATGTATGGTTTTTTTTGTAAATATTTTATTTTCAATAATTTATAAATATATATATATTTGAATAAATTTTTAAATGTCATAACCCAGTACTGAACCCCATTTCACACCATCATTTCTGTATATATATTATTAATATTTTTAATTTAAGAAAATTGGACATTCATAGTATTTTTATGATATAGTATTTTCTATAATATATTATATATTTTTTTAATATTTTTTTTTTTTTTTTTTAAGCATTTCACCCCAAGCAAGGCGGGAAGCCACTAGGACGCAAGGGGTTACAGAAAGTTTAGAGGAAGATCAGATAGGAGTGATAGAAGAAAGGATGAGGGTAGTGGATAGATTAAGGCAACTTGAGACGTCGATTGACATTACACTTGAATAGCTGGAGATTATCGCTCACAGGGAAACAGGAATAGGGAAGGGAGTTTCACAGGCGAGAGGTGCGAAACATGAAGCTATTGGAGTAGAAGAGACGGCTACATTTAGGAGTTTCGACAGTGAAGGGTGGAGAGCGGGATGCCAGCCTCGTAGGGCGCTTGAACTCATGACGTCTGGGAACCAGCGAATGCAGCTCCTCGGAGCAATTTCCATGAAAGTATTTGTAGAACAGACAGAGGGAGGCGACGGCGCGTCTGTGAGAAAGTGACTGTAGACGAGACGCCAGGGCAGGGCCAACCATATTGCATATCCGCCTCTGGAGCCTATCAAGAACCCCGAGGCAAACAGAAGGGGCACCAGACCATATATGGCAGCAATACTCCATGCAAGGGCGAATTGTGGATTTGTAGATCTGGAGGATCGACTCCGGGGAGAAAAACTTCCTGGCGCGGCTCAGGGAGCCAACTTTCCTTGCAGTGGACGAGGCAATTGACTCAATGTATTTATTCCATCTCAGGTCAGCAGTCAATGTGAGACCGAGAAGCCGCAGAGAGTTGCTCTCGAGAAGTTGAGCGTCAGACATTCTAATGGAGGGAAGGAAGGATCTCTGTGGTGATTAATAGAGAGCAGTTTTGTCTTTGAAGCGTTGAAGTTGACCAGCCAATTCATGCCCCAGTTCACAATCGATTGGAGGTCCTTTTTCGAGACGCACGGCAAGGTGAGTTTTGTCAGCGAGACTAGATTTGTTTTTGAGGCAGGAATAAATTGTGGTGTCATCCGCGTAGAGATGCCAACTTGGGAATCTATGGCGTCAGGAAGGTCATTTATGTAGATAAGGAATAGAGGGGGCCTAGGATGGAGCCTTGAGGAACACCTGCGTTCGTGGGATAGGAACTGGAGGAGAATCCGTTGAGAACGACCTTCAATTCACGGTTTGACAGGAATGATTGTATTAGGTTAAATAATCGACCCGTAATGCCATAACCCTGGATCTTGCGGAGAAGGCCGGCATGCCAAACCCTATCAAATGCTTTGGAGATATCTAGTGCCACGGCTCGGGCTTCCCCATTATTTTGAAGAGTTCGGTAGACTGTTTCAGTGATGGCTGTAAGCACATCGGCTGTAGATCTGGCAAAGCGGAAACCATATTGCTTGTCTGAGAGCAGATTATGGGATGTGAGGTGGTTAACCACCCGGTATTGATTAGAGCTTCAAAGATTTTGCCGAAGAGGGGAAGGAGACTGATAGGACGGTAGTTGGAAGGGTCAGAGGGGTCGCCAGAGTTCTTGAAGACAGGAACGATCGAAGAGGACTTCCAGCAGTCAGGAAAACAAGATTCCTTGAGGCAGTAGTTGTATAGTTTAGAAAGGGCGGGCGCCAGTTCAGGCGCGCATTTCTTCAAGACAATGGCTGGTATCCCATCTCCACCACTAGCCTTGTTGGGATCTAAATTGAGATAATGCCCAGTACCAAAGATGGGGTTATGTTTAACCCACTCAATATGGCCTCAGTTCTAAGAGGGAAGTCGGGTATGGGTACACGGGAAGAGTCGAGCGTCGAGTTGAATGAAAATTTCCGAGCAAAGCATTCAGCCTTGTCGGTAGAGGAGGTCAAGACTTCGAACTGGTTGAATAAAGGAGGTATAGGGGGTTTGCAATTGTTCAATACTCTCTTGCAGAGACGCCAATAATCTTTGGAGCCAAATTTGCGAGATGCAATACGCTTCTTCATCCGAGCCGCAAATAGTGACTTAGCATCATTGAGGACACGCTTACACTCGTTACGGACGGAGGCAAAGAGACGTCTATTGCAGTCAGACATGTCGCTACGGTATAGGTGGAAGTAGTGGTTCCTATGGGCGATGGCGGCTGAGCAAGCAGCCGAGAACCAGGGGCAGGAGCGCGACTTGACCCTATATTTCCTTGATGGGATGAAAGCGTCGATTCCAGCTTTAACCCAGGAAGAGACCTCAGAAGCACATTCTTGGACGGGGAGCTTAAAGACTCCATCCCAGGGGACATCGCGGAGGAAATCACGGAACGCGTCCCAGTCAGCTCGTTGATAATAGAACGAAGTTCTAGTGGTAGGAGGTTCTTTATAGGGGGTGGAGTTAAAGGAGATGTTAACCGATACTACTGCATGGTCAGAGTTACCAAAAGGGCATAGTTGCGAGGCGCTGCAGGATTCGGGGATGGAGGTAAAGCACAGGTCGAGTAGAGAGGCTTTTTGTTTCCTGGTTTTTAAAAACAAGTGGGGAAGTTAACTATCTGTGTGAGGGAATGGGAGATTGAAAATTAAGCGTTTGAATGCCTGCATGGTCAGTAGTAGCATTCTTAAGCCACAAGGTGTGATGGGCGTTAAAGTCTCCAAACACAAAAAATGTGAGCAACGGGTGGAGGGAGAGAGCCTTGTCTATGTTGTCAGAAATGCTATCAAGTATCTCACAGTCTTGAGAGGATGGAGAGCAGTAAAGGAAGAAGAGATAGCTTACCGCATTGAGGAGAGAGAGTCGGAGACACATGTATGACTGGTCAGGCGATTCGAGAGAGAGGACTCTGGCCAGAGGGAGATGTTCCTTGACGTAGACACCAAGACCGTGCATGTGGGTTAGAGAGTCTTTTCTGAGGAGAGGAAGATAGCCGATCGAGAGATCAGAAGAGGGGATAGATGAGACAAGGTTTGTCTCACAGAGAGAGCCAGTACATCCGGGCTGTTTGCAGTGAGGAAAGATTCCAGACTGTTCAAAGTTTGTCCTAATGCCCCGGATGTTGGAGAACGAAATGTTGAGGGGTTTAGGTGGTTTCTTCTGAGAGGCTGGTTTAGGGTTAATCTTTCGGTTTTTGTAACTCATGTTGGATTTAATTTTTACAAAATGAGAAGGCCCAAGGTAAAAAAAACAGACAGTTTTTCGACCGTGACGCGGGCAGAGAGGAGGAAATGGCAAAATCTGCATCATTATGTGGCCTCAGGGCTGCCCACCGGAGGTGACTGCAGGGACACCTTTCCATGCGCGACATGGCACTTACAAACACCCCGGTATTATACAACTGTTGATCAGAGCAGCCGCTCAAGAAAGAACGCAAGAGTTAGGGTTCCTAACTACCAGTCGGAAACAGCAACCAGAGAACTGTCAATGGTGTACCCTCAGAATGAAGAGATGTTGCCACAGACTGCACATCACGGGAGAAACAGACCTGCACTAATACAGAGGCCGGAGAGAGAAGATAGTACTATGTAAACTGACAACCCCTTCCTAGACAAGAAACAAGGTGTAAGCCTCTAAATATGTCCAATAGAAGGGGAGGTAAAAAAAAATGTAAAGATGAGTTACTGTATATATTTATTAAAATTATTAGTTTTGCTAATAAGGGACATTGGTAAGTCAGTTTCAACATCAAGTGAAGCTATGATTTCATTAGGTTTTTTTACTTTTAAGATTTGGATTACTTCTAATGTTGACTTAATACTATATTTAACTAGGAAGGTATGTAGTAATGAGTTGGTTAATGTATTTTGTTAGATGATATACAAAGTTGGAATTTTGCATATGATAGATACGGAGAGGATAGTTAGGTTTATTAAATTTTATAGTGCATTTTATGTAGCCATTGATTTTTTACAAATTTAAACTAAACTTCAGCATTATTAGCATTAATGAGTTTATTAAGCTTTGATTTTTTAATTGGTTGGTCTTGTTCTTGTTAAATTTTTTTTAACTAATTAAACCAAAAATGAACTAAAATTAAAGTTTTTTTTGTAATCCAGATGATATGAAAAGGATTTACTTAAAATAGACAAAACTTGTCTATATTATTTAATAAAACATACATTAATATATATATATATATATATATATATATATATATAGTACTGTGATAACAATTTCTGATCATAGTCCCTGGTTACTAAACTGATTGTCTGTATGTTTTGTCTCTGGTGAATGATGAAATTACAGGTATGAATTAATCAATACTGTCAGTGGCATGCATGATACACATTTGGGTGATCATGTCTCTTTTGATTCATGATGGCTAGGCAGAAGATCTTCCATATATTTTTTGCCATTTTCTTTCTGTAGACAGATTTTTCCCACCAAGGCATATACAACTAAGTAATCTTTTATTCAACCCATAGCTGTAGGAGAGTCATACATTTCCTTTGTATATTTGCAACTAAGTGAATGTAACAAACTTAATACCAAAATTCAAACTTGCCTTTCTGATTTCTCCTCCTGAGCCATTATCCATTGTACTACAATGTACAACCTTGTCAGACAATAGGAAATTAAAAAAAATCAGTTGATCCAGAATAAATTGTAAAGAGAAAAGAATTATTAAATGTTCTACAAAAATAAAAAGTTGGAGATGATTCTTAATATTTTATTATTTTCTTTTTATAGATGAATTACGACTGAAAAAAAGACGCCTGGATACATGACAATGACAACCTGTCTAATGATCTATTCAGTCAGAAAAAGAAAGTAAAATTTTTTTCTTGACCATTTGAAAATAAAAAAACATAAATTTTCATGTTGATATATTTTTTTTTTAATTATAAATGTCTGGTAGTCATCACCAAAGACTTTTTATATGACATAAGTCTTTCCAGCAAATTCCTTTGTATCCTTTCAATCGCTTGAATATCACCATAATCTTTGTATCTTTGCTTTCTTTGGATTTTCTCTTTCATCTTAATTCAAGAATTCTAGAGTCTATGGAGTATGGTTCCAAGTGTGTCTCCTATTAATAAGCAGGGTCCTAACCTTTTATATTCTACACCTTTATCTCAGCTCCTGTATCAGGGATTCTCACTCTCTTTCACTCGTCTACTGGCAGAGTCATGTCTACAATCTGATTCTACCTACCACCTCCCCAATTCACAATCATCAAGCCTGGTCTTCTTGCTTGGATGTCTTTATGGTTTTTATTTCCCCCAGACAGTCTGGATTGTGCTGATACTGTTTATTTACATGGTGAAACCCAAAACGTTTGCATAGTTCCCATTGTACAACTGTTCCTACACTGCCGTGTGTCTATTTTATTATTGACATTATTTTTGTTGTTTTATCCTTATTTTAGAAATAAAACAAAGCCAATTCAAGTTGTCTTGCTTAATGAGGGGGGGGTGTTTTATGTTATAAAATGTTTTTTTAAAAATTTTTTTTTTCATGATTAAATGCCTAATCCACTATTATTCAATGAACATCATCTTTGTTGGTTTAATCACTTCAGCTGGTATATGTTCTTTAAATATAAGTTCCATATTCTTAATATTTTTTAAAAGTCACTTTCACTTCCTTATTGATCTTGGCAACAAATATCGATAATGAAGGCTGGAGAGCTCTCAGCCAAAATATAATGACCAAAACAACAAGATAAAAAAACACTTGTCTAGATTAGTCATGAAATAATTATGAGAAAACTTCACCTCGGACAATGAGAAAAACTGGAAAACAAATTTCATCTAAAATGACAATTGAAAATTTCAAATCAACATGAAGACATTATATTAAAAAAACAATCTATAATCTTCTTTTTAACTTTGCTTTTTGATACGTTTACAATTTTTTATTACTGCTGATCTTCGATAATAAACACTTTGGCTGTTATACAATATAATCAATTTGAAGCAATAATCTTTTGAATTCTAACTGCTAATTAATAAAATTTACTTTGGTTTTTAACCTCTCTCTCATCCCCCCCTATATATATATATATATATAATGATAATATTTGGTAATCTGTAGAATAATTCCAAAAGGCTATAGATCCAGGGAGAGCTCAATGTCAAAAACAGACCAATAATAATTATTATTATAAAGAAAACAAACTCTTAAAAGACCATAGTGATATTTATTTATTTCATTAAGATTGAGAGTTCAATCTCAGCTCTTCAGACCAACTCCTTACACACAATTATAAAATCTTATATTTGCTCCAACACAAAAAAGGCAATCTCCAAGAGCTTTGGGATTACTCCCAAGAAGAATGGGAAAAAATTCCCAATGAGAAAATATAGATCTTGTTCCATTCAATACTACATTGAATTGAGGCAAGTATTTGAGCCAAAGGCAACACTAATTAACAGCTCCATACTTTGATATTTTGTACTTTCTATAATAATAATAGAGGTCACTTTTTGCAAAAAGAAATTTCATTTTAAACTTAAGAAAAAAATCTGAAAGCTTAAATTTTCATTTGTGGCCCAGTATATTTGCATGACCTTTTTTCAGGTTCACTGTAGAGAAAAATAAATGATGATGAGGGGGGGTTAAAAAGTGCAGTGCGACACTTGCTGGCAGGCCAGCTCTTTTTCTTCTTCTTCTTCGATCGCCTCAAGAAAATAGATTGTGTGGCTCCCTTTCTTGGCCGTTACACTGGGCAGTTGTGAAACAAACACCAACTCAGCCATGCATACTTCAACTTCCTCTTTGTCTGTCTGTCAGTCAATATGCATGTCCAACTCTAACACACACAGTCCGCTGAATGACTTTTTCTTTCTGTGCTGCTGGCACCCAGCTTTTTATGCTATTTCAAGACGGCCAAAATTTGCATGTGTGCAAATATCGTCTCATCTTGGACGAGATATGCACGCATAAATTGTGTCTTTCAATAGCGTTTATTTATTTTTTTGTCATCACTTTCCAGGCAAGACACGTTATATATCATCTCTTTCATCTCTGAGGTAATAAATGGACTTTCGTTACATTCACTTTGCTTAAGACACTCTGTCATCCACCATACAGCAGGAATGAAATTGAAGTGGTTTTCTGACCCTCAAAGATCATGAAACATCCTGAGAAAAAGCATACTGCTAATCACTCAATTTTGGGGTGAAATTAACAAATTTACCAATGATCAGTTATTTTCAAGAAAAGCACTGCCTTTTGGAAACATTTGATTCATAAGAGTAGCACATCATGATATTGGTGATAAAG